GAAAGCAGTCTTAACATCCATTTGATGTACCTGCAACTTATGAATAGAGGCTAGTGCAAATAATGCATGAATCGTTGAGATTTTTGTAACGGGAGAGTATGTATCAAAGTAGTCTAAACCAAACCTTTGAGTGAACCCTTTTACGACTAACCTTGCCTTGTACCGCTGAATCGAACCATCTGGCCTTAGTTTCTTCCGGAAGACCCATTTGTTGGAGATTGGTTTGAATCCCTTAGGCAAGTCAACTAATTCCCAAGTATGATTAGACATTATCGATTCTAGTTCATCATTAACAACACTTTTCCAAAAACTAGCATCGATAGATCTTATAGCTTCTTCAAAAGTTTTAGGATCCTCATCTAATAGAAAAATTTGAGCTATAAATGAAGTCTAAATCATTTATCTCAGAAATAAAGGAAGTAATAAAGTTTGGTCCAAAAGAGGTTTCAACTCTTTGCTTTTTACTTCTTCTAGGCTCAAAATCAATTTGTTCAGAAGACCTAGCAGGATTACTAGAAGAAGTTGATGGAATATATTCTATTTGTGTTTCAATATTTATTCTCGGTTCCTTTAAAGGAAAAGAATTTTCAAAGAAAACAACATCTCTTGACTCACAAATAGAATAATCTTGTAAAAGCATGAATCTGTATGCAGCACTATTTGTAGCATACCCTATAAACACTGCATCAACGGTTTTAGGTCCGATGGTGGACTTCTTAAAGTCTGACAAGCCCACTTTAGCCAGACACCCCCATACTTTCAAGTATTGTAAATTAGGAGCGTATCCTTTCCACAATTCATATGGAGTAGAATCTAATTTCTTATAAGGAACTCGATTCAAGATATGAGTTGTCGATAGAATGGCCTCCCCCCACATGTTATCAGATAACCCGGAACTTATTAGTAAAGAATTCATCATCTCTTTTAAGGTTATATTTTTCCTTTCAACTATACCATTCTGTTGAGGAAAATAGGGGACTGATGTTTCATGAATTATGCCATTCTTTTCACAAATATCTTTTAAGAAATTAGATCCATATTCACCACCTCTATCAGATCTAACCCGTTTGATTCTCCTATCTAACTGATTTTCAACTTCTGCCTTATAAATAAGAAAGAAGTTTTCAGCTTCATCTTTAGTTCTTAGGAGATAAACTTTTGTATATCTTGAATAATCATCTACAAAAGTTATGTAGTAGTGTTTTCCTCCTTTACTTTCAGTGTTTCTAAAATCTTCTAGATCAGTATGAATGAGTTCTAACAGTTCAGCCTTTCTATTAGAAACATTCTTAAAGTGAGGTCAAGTATGCTTAGCTTCTACACAAATCTCACATTTGTTAAAGCTAGTTGTGTCTAGTTTAGGTAGACTATTCATATTCATTAATTTCTTTAAAGCATGAATATTCACGTGTCCTAATCTAGCATGCCACATATCAATGGATTCAACAATATAAGCAGAAGTGGTAGCTTTATTTTCATTAAATTGAGTTTCTATGACAAATAAACCATTGCTTAAAAACCCTTTCCCCACATAATCACCATTTCGGGAAAGTACAAGTTTATCTTCCTCAAAAACTAACTTAATGCCTGCCTTATTCAGAAGCCCACCACTTATCAGATTTCTACGCAAGGCAGGTACATACATAACATTATTTAAAGCCAGAGTTTTACCAGAAGTCAGCTTGAGTAAAACCTTGCCTTTGCCTAGCACTTCAGAGCTGCTATAGTTCCCCATGTACACACGTTCACCAGTGTTCCCATCCTCGAACTCGATGAAAAACTCCTTCCTTGCGCAGAAATGCTTCGAAGCGCCAGTGTCAACTACCCATTCTGAACTGTTCTCCACCAGATTAACTTCTGAGAGCACCGCAGCAATGATCTCATCATCATCTTCTACAACGTGCATCTGTGGCTTGTTGTCATTCTGGCGGTCTGAGCGGTGTTGGCATTGGTAAGCTTTGTGGCCGGGTAAACCATAGACATAACACTTGAACGTCTTTCCTTCCGGTTTGGCCTTTCCTGACTTCTTGAAGTTGGTAGCCTTCTGTGGTTTCGTCTTCTTGTCTTGATTCCCACGTTTCATGATCTTCTTAAATTTAGACTCAACCAAGTTAGCTCTAAAAGATAAATTACTCATAGAATTAGTAAGCTTATCTTTTAAATGGTTGGCTTCTTCAATCTTCATATAGCCCACAAGTTCTTCAAGCAAAATGTCTCTCTTCTTATGCTTAAGAGAGTTGCGGTAGTCGGACCAGGACTTGGGCAGCTTCTTAATGAGTACATTGGCTTGCAGCACCTCACACATTTGCATCCCTTCAGCGATGATGTCAGCGACTAAGTTCTCATAGTCATGGACTTGATCCATTATTTGGCTTGTCGTCTGTCATCTGGAATTTGAGCCATTCGCCGACAACGTATTTCTTGATCCCCGTATCATCCGTACCATACTTCTTGTCGAGAGTGTCCCATATTGACTTGGCACTCTTTTCTCTAAGGAACATATCAAATAGTTTTATTTGACATGTGGCTGAGCAGATGTCCTCGCACCGTCTTGTTGTCCTTCTCGTATTTCTCGTAGGTAGCGAGAGCGGCGGCGGCAGTTGCTAAGGCATCATCATTGAGGACCGCATCCGCATCATTACCGGCAGCTGGGGTTGACGGCATGGTAGGTGGTGGCTTGAGCAACACGTAGTCAAGATCAAGTTGCTCGAAGAATATCATAATTCTTTGGGACCACCTTCTATAGTTCTTTCCATCAAGTGCATCGAGCTTGGAAAGATCGGGAATGAGTTTGCTCAAAGGTGTCGACATGATTGCAGTTTATGGAATTCGTTTCTAAATTATTGGATATATGAACTGCAAAACTACACCGTTAGCACTGACTGGAAATATAAACAGTAATTAAGAAGAACAAATTCGTAAACCGTGTCGTGGTAAGAACCACTGCCTTAGAAACGAATTCGCCCCGATGTGTGTAATCGCTGCAGTAGGCGGACCGTCCCCCGAGGTTAACACGGTCGCTCCGAATTTCGTACACCCGAAACCAGAGTGGACTGCTGGTGGTATTGTACTTCTGATTGGAAAGCACTCAGAGAGAACTCACAGAGAGAACTTTAGAAAACACTTTGTAAGTGAATTGTGAATGTTTTTGAATGAGTTGAGAAACTGAATATAACTCTCTATTTATAGGCTAGAAATAGGGTTAAAATTGTCTATAAAATTTCAGGATTAAATCTCTTATTTGTAACAGCTGAAACGTCTAGATGAACCTGACTCAGAAATAGTCCAGATTCATTGTATCATTATTCAGCTGTTATAACTCCCGAAATTATATCATGTAACCCCTGGAATTAAATCAAATAACTCCTGTAACTCCTGATATTAACAGCTTGTCTCCTCTGTACAAAGTTGTAAATCAGTCTAGGTATATCTTAACGTTTCTGATTTAATTTAGGAATAAACTGTTTAATTTTTGATAATAAATAATTCAGCTGTTATTATTTGAAATTCAAACAGTCATCAGCAGCCTATAAATATCAGTTGATATCTTTCACATTTTCCATTTGTTTCTTTCAAAGAGAAATTCCTTAAGAATTTTCTCTAAAAACCACGACCACGACCACGACCACGACCATGACCACGACCACGACCACGACCACGAGCCGAGCCGAGCCGATCTGTGTCGTGCCAAGACAGACGGACGGCGGCGGCGGTGCGCGAGAGCCCCCCTTGTTCTCTATCACTCAACAAGGAAGTGGAATGTCAAGCCTTAAATACTATTCCCAATAGTGTTTCCAACACTATGTGGGATTGAACATTACCAACAACATGTGGATATGGGGAGAAGCAGACGTCCCCGGAAAACGACCCTGTTTGTCCGACGCTGCTGAAGATCAAAATCCCCGGAAAACATTTGATCTGATCGCTGTCAAGCTCCCTTTTAGGAACCAAGGGAATTGGTCTAGGGATGTTGCTAGGTTGAATCTGCAGATCGCGGCGGCTAGTCTCGTGACATCGGCGAAAGGGTTTTATCCAGTGCATGCTCTTTTTTGTTTCGAAGTGTTTCCCGATACTGAACGTGTTCCCCTGCAAAGAACTCGTCGGACGACAAACGATGTCTGGCTATTCAAACCGGACTTGAATTTGTTGAGGGGAAAGATTCAGCTTCCAATTGGTTCTTGTGAACTTGCACTTCCAACAGGGATAAAAGGTCGGCTCTTGTCAAACTTTGTTAATCTCAATGGGAAAAATGTAAGTCATACATTATGTTCAGTGCATAGCCAACATATTCGGGGAAAGCATCTCGAGAAGCGTATGCGACGATTCTCCATTCGGCTCATGTGTATGTATGCGGGGCGGTCGCAGCGGCTCAAAGTATCTGCATGTCCCGCTCGACTCAAGACCTTGTGATACTCGTCGGCAAGACGATCAATGTTTATTACAGGGGTGGACTTGAGGCAGCTGGATGGAAAGTCAGGACGATCCAGAGGATCAGGAATCCGAAAGCCGAAAAAGACGCTTACAACGAATATAACAGCAGCAAGTTCCGGTTATGGCAGCTCACCGAGTACGACAAGATCATAGTCATCGATGCCAATCTGCTAATTCTTCATAATATCGATTTCTTATTCGTGATGCCAGAAATATTAGCAACGGGGAACAATGCCACGCTTTTCAACTCAGGTGTGATGATCATATAGCCATCGAATTGTACCTTCCAACTCTTAATGGATCAGATCGATGTGTTCGAATCGTACAACGGTGGGGATCAAGGGTACTTAAACGAGGTCTTCACATGGTGGCACCGGATTCCTCGACACATGAACTTCCTCAAACATTTTTGGACCGGAGACGAGGAAGGCATCAAGCGAAAGAAAACCCGTCTTTTCGGTGCCAATCCACCGATCCTTTACGTACTTGTGATGAATTTAGGTATGATTTTAAAAAGCTTAAAAAGCTTAGGTACTAAACGCGTAACTTATCCTGTATTGAACCTTTCTGACTAAAAGAAACTGCTTCTTCTCCTATAAAGAATTCTTACACAACAATCACGAATATTGTTGATAATATTAATGGGAAAAAGAAAAGATCAAGATGATGTTGGGATCCACTTATCGCCTTGAATAAAATTCTCCACGGAGTAGGTATATACATGTTGTGCTGGTATCTGGCTACTCCATGGAACTCTGGTCGATACATTTGAACCCGGTCCGGAGTTCTGATATTCTCCATAGAAGAGCGTGTTCAATGCAAAGTTACCGCTCCACGGCATCCATCCGTCCGACGAAATAAGAGGTCCCATGACGCAGTTCACGTAAACCGTCCTCGAATATTCCTTCCATGGCCTTCCCAGGAAGTTCTTGTGCACTTTAGGGTTGGTAAAGTAGTATTTCATGTATTCATCGGTGCCGTTGAGCGAGCAGTTTTGGAAAACGAGACCGGTCGATTGAGCAGGATCGGTTCTTCCATGAGCTGTGACGACATTGGTCTCTCCTTTTTCGGGATTTAACTGCCGGGGAACGACCGAAATGTCACATTCTTGGAACACCGCAGCAGAGTTCCCGAAGATGAAGTCGACGGTCCCCTGGATCCGACACTTCTTGTAGAACTGGCGCAGCGAGTGAGCGTAGAGAGTATCTTGATTCCCTATGAATTCGCAGTTCTCGATGACGGAAAGATCGCTATCCGACCGGAAGGCTAACGCTTGGTGCGCATCGGGGCAAGCCGTGTTTGCGAATGTGACGCCGCTGGCCATAAATCCATCCCCAAGAACTCCTACAACACACCAATGAACCATTTGCAATCAAGTCTTAACAAATGAAGTGTTCACACAGTTGACATTTTTCCAGGTCCACGTTGAATTTTATAAATATATAAGTATGTTATTTCGATTTTCTATTTGGATACCAATAACAAATATGAAAATTTTTATTTATTTCTTTTAATAATTTAAATCGATTATAAGATAATATATGATTTATTAAACCGAGAGAATTGTAAGGTAATATTTATTTTAAAGATTCTGAACTATTTGATAACGAGCACTCAAACACTGTAAACGTTGACAATCAAATCCGGAACATTTAAAGATAACAAGTTTTTTTTATTTATTTATGACCATTCGATGAAAATGAATTTATTTTAAAATCAACCAGATTATGATTTATGATAAGTAGTTGTAATAATAAATTACAAATTTACGAAATTTTTAGTATTAAAAATGAAATTATTCTTAATTTTAATTATAACTAAATTGTTTGCACTCAATACTACTTATGTCGGCTTAAAGTATGCATTTAATATTTAAATTATCAATTTTAATTTATTTTAATTTTTAAATTTTTAATCTCTTAAAAGTGTATCTAATATTTAGATTTTATTTTATTTTAGTACCTCATTTTTATAAACTTAACGTATTTAATATCTAAGTTATTATTTTCCGTCCATTATAGTATATAAATTTTAAATTTTTTTTAAAATTCAACGTTAAATTTTAAGTAGTGATATTAAAAAAAAGATTAAATTTAAAGTATACAAATTTTTTTAAAAAATTAAAAATTAAAATATTAAAACGAATCTGATAATTTAAATACGGAAAGTTAATTTATCCTAAGATATGATGAAACTCACCGACGGTGGCAGAATCATAGCCGGTCATTCCAGGCTGCCCCACATTTAGGGAACCCGTAATTACGGTTTTACCCATCCCTTCCCCCAAAAACACCACGTTTCTCTTCCTCATCGGAACCCTCACCGTTTCCTCGTACACACCTTCCTTTATGAGTATCACGAACCGCCGCGTTGCCTCCACATTGTCCGGCGCCACGTTCACCGCCTCCTGGACCGTCTTGTAACACCCGCCGCTCCCGTCTTTACACACCGTCACGTCCGGCTTCAACGCGGCAGGGACACCCCCGCCGGAGACCAGCGCCGTCCCGTCCGACACTTTCTCGTAGAACCCGTCCCGTTCCGTCTTGGGCGGGACCCAGGATTTCACGTCGTCCCCGTAATTATCGTAAGCGACCATCATGCTCAGCGCGTTGCTGGTGTGCTGCGTCAGGGAGTACAGAAACGCCAGCGTATCGTTCACCGACTGGGTGTCATTGACGTACGTTAGCGCTCCCCAGCAGTCGGCCTGGTAGCAAAGCGCGGCGCTCATCCACGCACGCGCGTCCTTGATCTCTCGGCGCGTCAAGCTGTGAACGGTCGAGTTGATGCGGTGATCCGAGTTGGAAAGGAGCTCGAGGCAGATGGTGGCGATGTTGGTTCGGTTGAGATTGCCCTTGGAGGACTCGAGGACGGATTCGACCATCGATTGCCCCATTTTGAGGTTCTGGGAAGATACAGATATGGCGGATTGGATGATTTGGAGGGAAGTTGGGTTCTCAGGGAGAGAAGAGGATTGTGTTAGAGCGTTCTCACAAGGTTGCTGGAAACGAGTGGACCGGCATGCAAGGCGGATTTGGGAGGCGCTTTGGTGGAGGTGGTGGCGATGGGAGGCAGAGAGGTTGAAGAAAAGGGTCAGAGTGAGAACGGAAAGGAATAGAAACACAGACATTGAGATCAATAGGAGGAGAATCTTGGGTTTTCCAAGAAAGTTTTTGGAAGGTGAAGATGAAGCCATGGTTATTGGTTTGGTATTTATAATTCCATGCGATGCTGATTAGGAATTTTGAGAACCGGTGGATGGAAATGAAAATCGCAAGATAAGTGAGAGTTGGAGTCATGCGGGGAATGTTTGGTAGAATTTTCCCAGAAAATGAAGATGGAGATGGAAATGGAAAGTGTGTCATTATAGTTACTGAACATAATACTATCTCGTCCCCGATAACTTTGAGAATTGCTTTGTTGGTCGTTTCTTAACCTCAGGTATGGGTAACTTTCAAGCAATGAAAACTACACTAGCGAATGTTTGGCATCCTATGGGGCATCTCTATCACGGACTTGGGTGAGAGTCGATTTTTGTTTTGACTCTATCATGAGATTGATTTGAACATGATTTTATACGAAGATCTTTGATATTTTAATTCTCATATCCTTCTTGTGTATCGTATGGGTGAGGGGGATGATCCTATGCTGGTGTCTTTAGAGTTTGTTGACTTTTGGGTTCTTGTTAATGATTTGCTGGTTGGTTGCATCTCGAAACAAATTACTCAGCTGTTGAGTAACTTTATTGGTTCTTTCACCGAGTATGATGCTTCGGCCGTTTCGTTGGGATATAGGGGGAGCATGAGGATTCGTGTTGGGGTGGATGTGCCTAAGGCAAAAAGGAAGAAGAAAATTGCCCTTCCAAATGACAGTTTTGCTCACGCCACTTTTCAATACGGGAAGATAATGTGAGCACGAGCTCCACTGGATTGCAAGAGCATTCACAGAACTACTCACAGCTCTACTTAAGAGACAACTGTATAAAGATGCTCTGGAAGTGCTTACCATAGGGGAGGTTAGTTGCTAACATCCTCCTATATTTGCTTCAACACTGTTTTTTCTTGTTGCATCTGGATTCTTAGAATATCAGTTGATGAACTTTCTTGTCTGGAATGTTAATTGGATTTGTGGAACGAGTGTCGAATACAAATGCGTGTACATGGATATAATCAGCTTTTCTCAAGTTTTTCCATATATTTGGAGGGTCATATCTCTATTAAGATGCCTAGATATGACATAGCTTGTTAGTGAAGCTGATAATAAAGTTTAGACGATGATATATTTTTTTGAGTCTGCCAATTAATATAAGTACATTATTATTTCTTGTAGGAGGCTTTCTCACTTTGTGATCCCAAGGTCCTTGAGGTAAGATTTTCTTTCTTAGAATTGAAGAAGGTTCATTTTCTGAAAAACTTAGTCCGTGCTGTGCTTCAGTTTCTTGTTTATAGATACAAATAACAGTTACTTTAGCTTTTAGTCAACCCTATATATTCATGAACATGCATATGTTATTGAATGATTGCGTGTTTGTTCTTTAGATTTGACTCAATATCCTCCACGCTTTGGCTGTGTGTTTGATTGCAGTTTATTTACAATGTACCAATACTGCAAATAGACATGGTGTAGTGCTATTTCTTGCTTCGAGACATCAGTTGGCTTTCAGTAGTAGGAATACGCCTTGAAAAATCCAGAGAAGGACTTGAATGTTGCCGTGGGAAGGATTTTTCCCGTGTTAGACTCCTTAAAGCTGGTTGCCCCAAACTATTAACTTCTTTCAAACCGATATATACCTGGGATGTTCCGTCCTCACTGGGGAAGTCTGTCCTTTCAGAAAAAGATGAACTTTTTACTCTTTTAATTATCTGGGTATGGTGAAATTGAGAATCGGAGGGACATGGGTAGGCGTTTAAGAGTTATAATTGGATAATTGGACGGTGGCAATGTTGAGGGAGGAAGTAGCCAAGCGATCGAACGCCGTACGTCCCGACTCCATCAACCTCATCTCCGCCGGTAAAGTTTTGAAGGACGGCGATGAGTCCCAGACGTTAAGCCAATTGGGTATCAGAAACAATGCCAAGATTCTGGCCAGCCGTGTCTCCGTTGATGAAGGCAAGTCCTTGAAACAAAAGCTGATGGCCGAAGAAGAGGGCTCTCGTCGACTTGCTCGAGTCAAGTGAGTTAACTCTGTACTTAATTTTTATAGAAGCTGGGTGCTCTTCTTGATGGTTGATTGGGGGTTCTTGGTTTTATTGAAATTATGGGTTTGATCAAAGTTACTGAAATTATTCTTATAATGAGGAAAATTATGATCATTAGGATTAGGAACACGTTGAATGAAAAGAAAACTACCCAGTTACTAATCCATGGTTATCTCTATTGGCAGGGCAGCTGCCACTGCACTTTCCCAGAGACATGTAGATGGTTCGTTGCCAGTTGAAGACTTCAATATTGAACTTGAAAACCAGGGAGGGCAAAAAGTGCAATTAGAAACCGAGACTGATCAGCGGTATGGCATTTTCTCCTAGGGTACTAAGCATAGGACTAACAGTTGCCGTTGTGGCTGCCGTGTCCTGATTGCAGATGTTGCGGACGTTACCTCTCGATTTATTTCCTAAAATAACTACGTTTTTATGTTGCGATGTTGTTTGCTGTGTCGCGGTGACCTTGAAAACATTAAGATGAGGATGTTACACTGCGTTGCAGCCACAATTTAATAGTTAATACTACGGTACTAAGACAGTTGAACCGATTTTTTAACTAAAGTAAGAGATGAATGTCTTTGAACAGGGCCGTAATGATGGATTTGATGCTTCATGAAAATGCAAAGAATCTACTTAAGAGACAACTGTATAAAGATGCTCTGGAAGTGCTTACCATGGGGGAGGTTAGTTGCTAACATCCTCCTATATTTGCTTCAACACTGTTTTTTCTTGTTGCATCTGGATTCTTAGAATATCAGTTGATGAACTTTCTTGTCTGGAATGTTAATTGGATTTGTGGAATGAGTGTCGAATACAAATACGTTTACATGGATATAATCAGCTTTTCTCAAGTTTTTCCATATATTTGGTGGGTCATATCTCTATTCCCATGCCTAGATATGACATAGCTTGTTAGCGAAGCTGATAATAAAGTTTACACGATGATATATTTTTGAGTCTGGCAATTAATATAAGTACATTATTATTTCTTGTAGGAGGCTTTCTCACTTTGTGATCCCAAGTTCCTTGAGGTAAGATTTTCTTTCTTAGAATTGAAGAAGGTTCATTTTCTGAAAAACTTAGTCCGTGCTGTGCTTCAGTTTCTTATTTATAGATACAAATAACAGTTACTTTAGCTTTTAGTCAACCCTATATATTCATGAACATGCATATGTTATTGAATGATTGCATGTTTGTTCTTTAGATTTGACTCAGTATCCTCCACGCTTTGGCTGTGTGTTTGATTGCAGTTTATTTACAATGTACCAATACTGCAAATAGACATGGTGTGGTGCTATTTCTTGCTTCGAGACATCAGTTGGCTTTCAGTAGTAGGAATACGCCTTGAAAAAGCCAGAGAAGGACTTGAACGTTGCCGTGGGAAGGATTTTTCCCGTGTTAGACTCCTTAAAGCTGGTTGCCCCAAACTATTAACTTCTTTCAAATCGATATATACCTGGGACGTTCCTTCCTCACTGGGGATGTAACACCCCCAACCCGTACCCGACCCGGATATGAGTCAGGGATACTACATTGACTTTAAAACACGACTCTTAACCAATAATAGCAAAATATTTGAACTTATATTAAGAAAATACAATAATATACATATTGTAATATAAGCTTATCAAAATGTTCAGAGCATACACAACTTAACCCTTTAATTACATGCCAACTGCCATTTACATAACAAAATGACCTACTGATTAAGTTGCTTCTGATCTGGTAGTTGCAGGAGTAATGCTGTCAAGCTGCTTCACCTGTCTCGTCTATTTTTTCGGATCCTACGTGTGAAACACTCACACGCTAAGTCGTCGACTTAGTGAGACAGTAATAATAACAAGGCAATGTAATGAAAATGTCATGATCATATGAGATGAGATGCAAACATGTACTTAATCAATGTAGTATACATCATCAATATCCATACCTGTAAGCGTATGACTGTAACATTCATGAATCTGTATTAATAAGTTTATTGGCCCATGATAGCATATTGAGAACCTAAGGTATCTGAGTAATGTGAGGTTGTGCACTATGTTGTCACCACAGCTCGTATAAATGCACCGAAGTGCCGCGTAGAATTGCACCGTAGTGCCATATAATGATGTCCATAAGGACCACATATAATTCCTTAAGAATCATATACATATACTAGGGATCAAGTATGTGTCTTTCCAAGACTTCACACATGTTCCACAGAATATATATATATCCCGAAGGACCGCGTAGAATTGCACCGTAGTGCCATATAATGATGTCCATAAGGACCACATAGAATTCCTTAAGAATCATATACATATACTAAGGATCAAGCATGTGTCTTTCAAGACTTCACACATGTTCCAAAGAATATACATATGTCCCGAAGGACCGCGTAGACCCTCTACCCTTGGCATGCCAACTATACCTATAGTTCTTATCTACATAACATGGGCTTTTACATTTCACGTAGTCTATATCGCGTAGACATGTAATTTCTTACCTTTTCACATAGCTCATAACTTTTCCAACATATTCATGTCATATAATGCATTTTATATGAACTCATGTCATGTCTCATAATACAGAATATGCTCATGTACCAAGATATAAAATCTAGACTTATCACAAGTCTAGAATGAAGTATATTTCTATAATCATACTATGCATATGCACTCACCTATACTTCTTTGCCTTTTCCTCGATCGATCCTACTTGTAGATTGTTCCCGAACTCGTGTAGGCTCGGTATCTACATAAACATAATTTTCAAGATGATCATCAGATGTCTATGTCTTGAAATTAAGCTTTAATAGCTTACTAATTTAAGAAATTAATAGCTTAGTCTTTCTTTCTTTTCTTCTTTTTTTTCTCATGGGGGAATCGGTTCCCCCCTGGGGGTATCGATTCCCCTCTAGCATTCTGGAAATTCATATTCGTTGAGGGGGTATCGGTTCCCCTTGAATGGGTACCGATTCCCCTAGCCCGAAAATCCTATTTTGAGCTCGAAAATCCTTTCCTTTCAGCTCAAATATACATATTTCACTCCCTTTAATACTCTTAGCTTTCATACACTTAAACTAATTATTATCCATTCAATACCTCTAAAACTAAGAAAACTACTCATCCATATAGAATTGAAGAATCTTACTCCAATTCCAACTTGTTCTAATTTCAATTCTATTACTTCATACTTCTTAATTAACTTATTGACAAGTCAAAAATCTTATTCAAACATAAAAAACTCATCCATATCAAAATTTCATCTAAAAACTCATTTTCTAAATCTATCTCTAAAACACTTATCTTGTTGTCTTAATGCCATATAAGCTTTCCTTTAACTTATATAACATCCAAACTTCCATTTCCAATCTTAAAAATCAGAGAAACTACCAAGGTTCAGATTCTTACCTTTACTTGCAAGCTTCACGTTTGGAGAAGGAAGAGAAGAAGATAAGAAGGAAGGAAGAAGAAATGAGAGGATTCTGGAAACCTAATGCCCCACGTGGGTTCTAATATAATCCCATAACATTTTTTTAATTATAATTTTTCCTTACAAATGACCATTTTGTCCTTACATTCATTTCATATTTACTAACCATTATTTTTAAACTATATAATTATTCTACTTTAATCACCAAATGTTGAAACTTTGCAAATTAATCAGTCTGTCCTTTCAGAAAAAGATGAACTTTTTACTCTTTTAATTATCTGGGTATGGTGAAATTGAGAATCGGAGGGACATGGGTAGGCGTTTAAGAGTTATAATTGGATAATTGGATGGTGGCAATGTTGAGGGAGGAAGTAGCCAAGCGATCGAACGCCGTACGTCCCGACACCATCAACCTCATCTCCGCCGGTAAAGTTTTGAAGGACGGCGATGAGTCCCAGACGTTAAGCCAATTGGGTATCAGAAACAATGCCAAGATTCTGGCCAGCCGTGTCTCCGTTGATGAAGGCAAGTCCTTGAAACAAAAGCTGATGGCCGAAGAAGAGGGCTCTCGTCGACTTGCTCGAGTCAAGTGAGTTAACTCTGTACTTAATTTTTATAGAAGCTGGGTGCTCTTCTTGATGGTTGATTGGGGGTTCTTGGTTTTATTGAAATTATGGGTTTGATCAAAGTTACTGAAATTATTCTTATAATGAGGAAAATTATGATCTTTAGGATTAGGAACACGTTGAATGAAAAGAAAACTACCCAGTTACTAATCCATGGTTATCTCTATTTGCAGGGCAGCTGCCACTGCACTTTCCCAGAGACATGTAGATGGTTCGTTGCCAGTTGAAGACTTCAATATTGAACTTGAAAACCAGGGAGGGCAAAAAGTGCAATTAGAAACCGAGACTGATCAGCGGTATGGCATTTTCTCCTAGGGTACTAAGCATAGGACTAACAGTTGCCGTTGTGGCTGCCGTGTCCTGATTGCAGATGTTGCGGACGTTACCTCTCGATTTATTTCCTAAAATAACTACGTTTTTATGTTGCGGATGTTGTTTGCTGTGTCGCGGTGCCTTGAAAACATTAAGATGAGGATGTTACACTGCGTTGCAGCCACAATTTAATAGTTAATACTACGGTATTAAGACAGTTGAACCGATTTTTTAACTAAAGTAAGAGATGAATGTCTTTGAACAGGGCCGTAATGATGGATTTGATGCTTCATGAAAATGCAAAGAATCTACTTAAGAGACAACTGTATAAAGATGCTCTGGAAGTGCTTACCATGGGGGAGGTTAGTTGCTAACATCCTCCTATATTTGCTTCAACACTGTTTTTTCTTGTTGCATCTGGATTCTTAGAATATCGGTTGATGAACTTTCTTGTCTGGAATGTTAATTGGATTTGTGGAATGAGTGTCGAATACAAATACGTTTACATGGATATAATCAGCTTTTCTCAAGTTTTTCCATATATTTGGTGGGTCATATCTCTATTCCCATGCCTAGATATGACATAGCTTGTTAGCGAAGCTGATAATAAAGTTTACACGATGATATATTTTTTTGAGTCTGGCAATTAATATAAGTACATTATTATTTCTTGTAGGATGCTTTCTCACTTTGTGATCCCAAGGTCCTTGAGGCAAGATTTTCTTTCTTAGAATTGAAGGTTCATTTTCTGAATAACTTAGTCCGTGCTGTGCTTCAGTGTCCTGTTTATAGATACAAATAACAGTTACTTTAGCTTTTAGTCAACCCTATATATTCATGAACATGCATATGTTATTGAATGATTGCGTGTTTGTTCTTTAGATTTGACTCAATATCCTCCACGCTTTGGCTGTGTGTGTTTGATTGCAGTTTATTAACAATGTACCAATACTGCAAATAGACATGGTGTGGTCCTATTTCTTGCTTCGAGACATCAGTTGGCTTTCAGTAGTAGGAATACGCCTTGAAAAAGCCAGAGAAGGACTTGAACATTGCCATGGGAAGGATTTTTCCCGTGTTAGACTCCTTAAAGCTGGTTGTTGCATTGTGAGTTCTTTCACAACATTACTTCAGTGGCTCAATTTTTGTGTTTCTGGTCGTGAATGAGAATGCTATTGGTTGCAATGTTTAGCTAATCTCTTTTTCATTCTATTTTTGTAGATATACGAGGTTGGAGTTGTTGGAAGGAGTGGTGGCATACCATAATGGTCAGTTCGATAAATCTAAAATGGCACTGACATCTGCGCAAGCAAAATTCTCAATTTTTCCTTTACTTATTGTCCAAAGCAGCTAGCTCTTTTCAGATATCTTGTTCCGGTGGTTCATCTTTATTTGATGGTTTTATCATAAAGGGGAGAACATTGACACTCTCCAGTCTCCACTTTTTTCTGAGTTGATCAGGTTTGTCTTGGGGGGGACCATCACTGTGCCTCTCATCTCACAATACCTTATCAGAATATCTGTAGCTATCCTTTGAGCACAGGTTTAGGTTTGGCTTCAACGTGTGGATAAAATGGGAGTGTTTATCGTCGTATCTTATGAACCATGAATTCTGACTGGATTGTTAATTTGCTTGCCATTTCCTTTGCTTTTTCCACTTCTATTTTTCTCAACAATAGTTTATTTGCATCCTTCTCCAACATTAAGCCTTATTTTTTTTTTTTGTGTTGATATCAGTTACAAGTGTCTGACGAAGTCTTTTCACATGTTATGAGTATGGGATTTAAGGAACGTGATGCAAGGAGGGCATTACGTTTGAACAATCAAGATATTGGGAGGGCTGTTGATTTTCTCCTTTTAATTTTCTTTTTCTTTTATTGGAAAGGCTAAGATATTTTTTATTTGGCAGATTTGAGAAGAAACTTGCTGCTGAATCCCTTCGAGGAACGAGAATGATTTTCAAAAGGCATTAGATGGTCTGACCAATCCAGAAACTAATTCTGCCATCCAGGTTGACTGTTTTCTTTGCATGAAGTTTTCCTAATTTTTAATTTTATTGGCTATGCTTGTTTCATTGACTGTGTTTGTTGTCAGCTTGATATTGAATCAAGGAAAAGGAAACGAAAGGAACGAGCCGCAAAGGCCAGAATTGAAGAGCTTGTATCCATGGGATTTGACAGATCTATAGGTAATGAGGAAATAGTTCTAAACTGCTATACTTGTATTTCCATAGTTGTTTTTCACTTTATGATCTTAAGATTACATTGTTTCCATGTTAGATATTCTAGCAACTTGAGGTCCATAAGCTTGATAACGATTTTTTCTAGTAACATTCTGATATTTTCCTGGGTTCAGTGGCTGCTGCCGTTGCTGCCTTTCCGTCTGATGAAACTATGGAGCAAACATTGAGTCGACTGCTATCAGAATTTCAGCCACCACTCCGGTGTTGATGCTAACAGCATCAGGAATCCTTTTTCAGAGCCTAACAATTTGAACCCTGATAGTGCGAGTACCAATGACACTGGTGAAGGCCTGCCAACTGCTGCAGATGAAGAACGGGACGTGGAGATGGAAGATGAACTTGCAAGAGACATAGAAGGTGCCAATGCATTATCGGACTATGACATTGAAATTACAAAGGAAGGGGAAGCAATACAGGAGTATTTGACTCGCTTGGCCTCACCAGATGGCAAGGAAGCTCAATCTTCGGGATGAGAAAATTATTCCTGAGCAAATTACTAGTACATATCTGTGAAGAGGATGCCCCCATTGATACAGGCCTCTGTAGTGGTGGTTAATGCCAATAATTTCAGTGGTTTTATGCTGTAGAATGACAACTCTTTTTACAACTACAAAAGGCTTGTATTTTCACATTTGAATCCTTATCTCCTTAAATTATAAGTGCACAAATACCCAAATAGCGTTCATGAATGTGTTGGCTGCATGGTATTTGTATGTATAAATGTATGTTAGCTGCATGGCATTTGTATCTGCATAAATGTATGTTGCATGCATGGTAGCATCTGCATACATGTATGTTGCATGCATGGTATTTGTATCTGCATAAATGTATGTTTGATGCATGGTTTATGCATCTACATAAATGCATGTTTCATCTTCATGCTCTGAATTTGCAACATACATGGTATATGCATCTGCATAAATGTATGTTACATCTTCATGCTCTGAATTTACATCATATTATAATTTTAATGATTGAATTCATAATATTTAAATGCGAAAAAAGAGTGTTCACAAGAATTAGCAATCCTTTAATTTGATACAAATATTATTACTTTGACAAGGCTAATCTCTATAAATCTATGACTAAATGTAAGAAGATTGACGACATTCATTCGGTTGAATCATAATTATTAGATTGATCTTCGGAGTCCATCATCATGCTAATACGTGTGTCCTCAACCATGGTATCCTTGTGATCCTTTGGAAGGGCATTGCAGTTAATGGTGTGCCACACAGGTCTCTCCTCTTGGAAAAACCTACAAAATCAGGGATAATTATCACAATCTTTTATTTAAATAAATAAAAACTAAAAATGTAAATAATAATAATAATAATAAGTGGTGGCATTAGAAATATTATACAACTATCCTTTTTCTCATGGTGGCTAAGGCCGTCAAATGAGACAAAATTGATCAAAGTTACTTGAACTCGACTAAGTCAAAGTTCAATCAACACTTGATTTGAATGAACTCAACTCGAGTCCTTTTCGATCTGAAACGAGTTATTTGATACTCGACTCGAAAAGTACGCGAGCAACTCGAAAAATAATATATTAATTTTTTTTTAAAATTAAATTATTAATAATATAAACATTCATATGTTATTATTTTTTAAAAGTACAATATAATGTTTTTTTTTGTAGTTAAGGTTCATGTTCGAATTCGAACTTGAATCGGGCTTGAGTTTACGCTTCAACTGAGCTAAGTCTGAGAATGTTTTATGTTCAAGTTTTTCAAGCTCGAATCGAGCTCTAGTTTTGATTTTGAGTTTTGGTCGAGCTTGACAAGTTCAACTTTGAACTTTTTAAATTGAGTCGAGCTCAACAATACTGAAACTCGACTGTCTCATTTACGACATGCACAATATCTTTGACCCTTCCAAGAGGCACAATCAGCTCTAAGGAACTAGTATCAATAGTGTTAAATCTAGAATTTGGAGCAGAGAGAGAGAGAGACTCACGGGTGTTTGCATAGCATAGGGCTTTGAATAGTAAGTGCATACTTGCATGTGGATAACTCTGTAATGGAACTAATCATTGCTCTCGGCTCTGAGCAGACAAATCTCACCTACAAACAGAAATAACAAAGCATAAAAAGATGAGAATGAATCTTAAGATTAAAAATGCAGGACCTTTTCCTTCTAAAGGAGATCTAAAAACCATCTCACAATACTGTATCTTTGTTGCTTCATACCTCAGTTTCTCGGGGCTGATTAGTAAGATCACATAGGGTTCCATTCGTATATTGATGAGGGTGATACCTGAAATGAGACATGGCAATGGCATCATTATAGTCCTTTTCTTTATTTTCCTTCATGTAATTCGGCATAATCTTGTACTTTTCACCACTTGGAACTTATTTTTTGGGTAAAAGTTAAGGATTATTTTTGATGGGGTAAATGGAATTGTGACGGTTTTTGGCGATTCATCCATTTTGGTTTGGATGGAGCGCCCAGACTGGTAGTTCTGTGAAGGATGTAGAGAATAGATAATCTGAAGAAGATGATGAACAAGGATATAAGCTGAGAGAGAGATCCCTCCTCCAACCTTGCATGGTGGTTTATATAGACTCTTAGCGTTGGTGGCAGGTCTAGGATGATGATGGTTATCCGTAAGCTAACAGTCAAATAGATAGGACTTTCATATAGTAAATTTGGTTATGACGGATTACGTGGTCCAGCCAATGGTCATGTTAAAGTGTTGTAGCTAGCCGGAGGATATGAAGCTCCGAAGGCTTTGATAGGTGGAGTGACAGCGAGGAGGTCCGAAGAAGGTACAACAACTATAATAAAGATGACAAAGTTTGGGAGCAACCTAAATCTTAAAACATACGAAGTCTCACCTTTGAGATGCATCTTTTGATCGAGGATCCTTTAATGTGGAGATGTCGGAGAGATTCTGGTTGAAAGCAGCAGTGGCCTCTTCATCATATACACCCAAGACAAATTCCTGAACCACCTGCAATAATTCCAAAATGATAGAAAATGTACCATTAAGAAACTATAGAAACTGCCGGTGGTAGCATACATCACAGATGAAACTCTCAAACAAGTGGAAAAAAGAAAACAAGTCTAATGAAAATATGAGCACCTCAAATTCAATAAAAGATCTACCTTTTCATCTTCCACATGTAGTTGCCGCAACTGCTTTTGGTAGCAAAATTCATAAGACCACCAGCCCTCTTGCTGCAAAGAAAAGAGCTCACAACATAAGCACTAGAGGCAGGTATGAGTTAAGTGGCACGCAACACCAAAGAAGAACAAAGCCTTTCTCAATTCTTTGCATTTATGTCCAATGACAGCATCATCAATTCAATATAGGGTACAACCAAACAAACAGTGTGTGGGAACCAGGTGTTTACTCTGATAAAGCATCTATCTTTCAGTACATCCAGCAGTTCATCAGGTGTCTTCAGTTTAACCCGTTTCTCGGACTCCACAATCATGCTACTAATGTTCTGCTGAGTAACTGGCTTTAAGGTCTTGGCTTTTTCCACCTTCGGCAAGAAACATAAAAAGTTCTGTCCATCTTTATTAGGCATAAAAACAGACTCCAGATCATCATCCTGCAAAATGTTCCCGGCATTGTAATAGTAGATCATTAAAAGCGGTGAGTCCAGATTCTAAATGGCAGTATGACCCGAATCCGACGGGGAAACCCGAAACCCAATCAAGTTCGGGTTGGGTCGGGTTGAATGATATCGGGTCGGGTTCGGGTTCGGAGATTTTTTCCGGGGATTTTTTCGGGTCGGGTTCGGGTTCGGGGCAAGGTATCCCCGCCCCGATTATATATATATATAATATTTTATATTTTTTATATTAATTATATATATAATATTTTATATTTTTATATTAATTATATATAAAATATTTTCGGGTTCGGGTATAATATTTCGGGTCGAGTTCTGGGACGGGGCAAAAAAAATCCCCGACGGGGCGCCCCGATAAAAAACCCGTCGGGGTCGGGGATTTATTTCGAGTTCGGGGACGGGGCGAGCAAAACCCGCCCCGAACCCGACCCGTTGCCATTCCTAGTCCAGATGGAACTTGATAGGTTCACATCAAAGGAAAACCAGCCTACTACTAAAGCTATATTCACACCGAAAATTATGATGAGATTAAGAGGCCGAAATTTTCATTATTCTCATACCATGAATGACCATCTTTTATAGAAATGATACCAAGTTGCAATCTAGTTCGGATGCGTTCTCTCCAATTTCAAAATACAAACTGTCACACCCCGATTTTCATTGTTTTGATTTAAATTGAATTTTAATTAATTACGAGGACCAAATCATAAAAAACTTTGAAAACTTGAAGTCAATTTTCGACAATTATAGGAAGCTCAGGGACCTAAGCTGGAATTATATCATCAGTCTTTAACTTTGAAAAAATATAGGGGTTTGATGGGATTGAACCCGTGACCTACTGAAAAAAGGAATGGTGCCCAAACCCTACTGTTTAAACTATGGCACTGTTTTAATATATTTTATTAAAATATGTTTTATAGTTACTTAGCCTGGATTTTAAATTCCATATCATTTATTTTTCATTGGATTGGAACCAAAGTTAAATAAAAAGAAAAAGAATTAGGAAAGGTTTCCCAAACCCGTCGCCCCTCCGTTCACTGATCTTCGGCCGACGATGGAGTGCACTACCACCACTATTTTGTTCTCCGTCGTCCTCCGATCAAAAGCCCTCTGCCAATTTGTCGAAAGCCGTGAATCAACGATTGTTTGCTCGTCGAAAACCCAAAATGCGTTTTCTTCTCCTTGCGATTCCGGCCACCACAGGCGACCGTAGGCCCCGACACCACCACCGTTCGACTCGTCGTCCCACGCCGAGCAAAACCCGACCAACCTCTCCGTCTAAGCCCACCGTTTGTCGTGAATCAACAGAGAAAGCCTCGTCGGAAAGCTTTACCCACCATCGTGGTTTTCACAATTTTCGTGTCGATTCCGTCGTCGGTTGGCCTTATCGCCATTAGGGTTTCTGATATCTGGTTTCTAACACAAGGTACAATTAGCTCCTGATTTCTGATATTACTGTCTCCTATCTGATCTGTTTTATTGAGGTACTATCTTGGTAGGTGTCTGGAGACTCTGAGGTTCAATTAGCTGGTAAATCCTTTCTGTTCTGATTATTCATATTGGACTCCTAGATCCTAGAGGTCTAGGGTAAGTCCTTATGAATGATGTCCTGGGGAATTTCACATGGAGTATTCGGATGGAGTGTACTACAATGATTTTAAAAATCTGTTTTACTGAAATAACTACTACTGCTTTTAAACTAGGATTACATTTTATTCTAGTTTTGAAGGAACACACTAGACGTTGTTTCAATATCCTGAACCTAGTCTTCTGAACGTTTTCTCTGAGCTATAAGCTACCTGTCTGTTATCCGAAGAAATATCAGTGGAATCTCAGCTCATCACAGAAACATGTAGATGCCTGAACCAATGAGAAAATTTTAAATGTTTGCTATTTATCTGCATGTCTTTCAGCATCTTTTGGTAATTTTGTATTACTGAGCTTCCAAAGCTCACTCTTTTATTCACCATTTCATGTTAAAAGAATAAATTCAGTGCAACTATCGACATGAGTAATGGGAGTTCCTTTGGCTTTGTTTGCAGAGTACGGTACAAGTGTAATTATGCTGAAGTGTGTTGGTAGATAAAAAGTATACTAGTATATTTGAACTCGTTAGTAGGAAAAAACGTTTCAAATAATACAAGCATGTTAAGCAGAAAACTTCAAACTTCAAAATAAAAATGTTCTCGCTTACATTAATGTGTACATGTAAAAGATTCCAGGATTTTTACATGTTACTATTTATAAATTTTACGCGCTCAAGGAAATTTGCAGTGGTGAAAGAATAGTTAAGCGGTGTTATCCTACATCTCATAAAAATTGTGTTTCGTGTTCCAGATGATGCTTCATAACTTCATAAAAGATACTGTTATATACCGCAGTTCATTATACAAATCATGCTATAAGATCCAAAAGGATGAGATCAAATTTAGATTCCTTTTTCATGCTCAGAGCAACTATTCATGAGAGAGATTTGGATAAAGGATGCAGGATGAAAAACTTCCTTATTTAAGGTAGATAATCATGTACTAAAACTGCAAATGTGTGCACCGTAAAATCAGCAACTAAGATTGAATGCAAAGCAAACTTCAACGTGTTCATCAAGATTTCATCAAACCTGAAAAAGCGGAAGGAGTTTATATTCTACTCTTACTCACAGGATGGTAGGGAGATTCTTCAGAATGGAACTCAATCTTGTATTTTGGTTCACGGGGGCTTCGGCCAAGTGTGCCAGCTGTTTTTCAGTAAAGAATTAGAAAAGCATCAGAATGCAAGAAAAACTTGAAAGCAGTAGAACCAATATTGTAAATACTTAAAAAGGGTACCAGACACGGCCAATAACCCAGTTGAAATATAGTTAGATGGCAAATATGCAGAATGATAGCATCACACATTAAGATTGTCTTGGTTGCAACAATTAATAGCTCTTTCTAAAATTGATTGGAGTAGATTTATGTACTTTACATTCTAGTTTCTCTCTTCTTCTTTTTCAGTCTCTGGTTTACTAGGTTTAACAAGTTCACCCTTCTATATTTAAGAACCAGCCTTTCATTGACCCACAAACACAAAGGAACGAGAACATAAGCCAATTATCCGCCGTTCATCTTGCATGTCGGCTATGATTCATAATATCCAATTTTATCAAACAATCAGTTCTTAGCATGACTTCTCTGTTCACTCTCATGAATAAATAGTCAGATTCGACACTTATTGGTAACTCTATACAAAAACATTTGGCAAAAGGAGTTTGGATTCACAAGTAAGAAAACTAAACTCAATTGCAGAGTCTTTCTAGTTGTTTTTGTGTTTGTGGGGGGGGGGGGGGTTGGAAATACTAATGCAGAGAACACTTTAAACAGATGATAAAAATATTCATCATACTGTCATGTGAAGTATGCAAAATCTCAGGTGACCGAAACACGATTGAAATCTAGTCCCCCCCCCTTCGATTACAGCACTTCATCGAACCGAATTCCGAAACCAAAAAACCCCCCTTTTCTTACCATGAAGGGATACAGCCCTAATGAAACTCCTTCCTGTCTTTGGAGCTAATTTCATCACTCAAACACTAATAATAACAAATTCGTCAATTTCTTTAACAGATAGACCATTCCCTATTTGTGAGTGTACAAGGACAAACCATATCATATTAGTACTAATCAACAATGGGAATATATATTTGAAGTACCATCATAAGGTCTCATCATGAGCTCAACTATTCTACGTTTCACACATGAAAACAATAATTTCAAAGAGAACCCAGAACTAAAAAAACAATTATATGGATTACAAAAAAGAAACCACGAAATATGGGCTGACCTACTTGAGATGAGAAAATCTGATCGGCTAAGACATTGCTTCCCAAAATATATACAACTGCTACAAAACAAACAAACAATCTCATATTTCCTTTTTCCTTTTGAAGAATCCGAACGATATAACTTGTGCCTAGAAGAGGAGGCGGAGGAAGAAGAAGAAAGACGCAGCCAGAGCTGGTGAAGAAAGCAGGTCGAGCAATGGGATAGCGCCACGTCATGTAAAGGTGTGGGTAAGATGGGCTTCGTGTTGTTTTGTCAAAAAGCGTAAACCATTCAACACGGTTTTTTTTGGCCCAACATGACGAACCAGTAAACTATTTGGAAAAATAGGATAAGAATAAGTTTATTTGGAATCTACAGTATTTTCTATAATATTCATAAAATGAATTTTATGCATCGAAAAAATATCGTAGATTTCAAAATAAAAGTATTTGTGTCTTATTTTACAATATTTTTTCTAGACCGCTCTATTGGGCCAAAAAAGCCCAAAGCCCTCTTGTTAAAATCTAAAATCTAGGCCTTTGCCTTAAAGAAAAAGGTAAATTGCATTTGTTTAAATTATTAGTTTTTGTCCGTTTTAATATTTAAATTTTTATTTTTTTAAAATACATTAAACGTTTAGTTTTTGTTTTATTTTAGTAATCGTCAATAAAAACTTAATAGCATTACATTTTTATGGGTAAAGTATATCATTTATCACTCAACTATCTTCTCACTCCTATTATGGTATTAAAATTTAAAAAATTTCAGTTTAATTAATAAACTTTCAAATTTCTCCTATTTTAGCCACTCTATTTATTTTATTAATAATTTTTGTGACAGTATATTTTATTATTATTTTATTAATATGTAATTAAAAATGAAAAAGATTTAAATTTGAAAGTTAGAATGATTAAATTAGGAGTAATTTGAAAGTTAAGTAATTGAATTAGAAAAAAAATTAAATTTTAGTAAACAAAATAGGAGTGAGACAATAGTTAAGTGATGAACGCTGCAATTTACTCATAAAAAATGATATTCTAAAAAGAAACAAAATTAAACATTAGTTATGATTTTAATAAAAATTAAAAGTTATGATACTAAAATGAACTAAAATAAATAGTTTAGATATTAAATACGTAATATATCCTAAAGATAAATGGCCCTGAAACGGGTTTCCAAGATTTGAGTCTAATCTTCTTAAAAGAAAGGATTTGAGTCTAATCAAATTTAAACTTTTTTTTTTTTTGAATTAATCACTGGTATCCGATCTATTGATCGACTAATCTAAATCGGGTACTGCAGAGGTGATGACGACCCTCCCAACCCAGTTCGCTCCATTCGCAAACGTTATGATTCGAATCATTGACCTTATTTAAGGGACCTAGTGCCTCATCTCACAAGACTAACTAGTTGTGTTATTTAAATTCCTTTTAAAATCAACATTTTTACCATGATCTTAAGCTTCATACTAAAATACTGAATTTTTTAAATTATTTAAACACATTTTTTAAATATGTATTCGTTAAATAATTTAAAAATAAAATTGATACACTTATTTTAGGGGTCAATTCTAGAATTAATCTAAAAATAACTTTTTAAATTAATATTTCAATAAAAAAAACTTTAAATTCTAATGCATTAGATTGATAAAATTAAAGTAAAATTTATAAATTTTAAAAATAAAACCCTCCCTCACATCATAAAATTCAATTTTTTATTAAGTAATACATTTTACATTTTTAAAATAAATGTTGAGATGTAAACTCACACAAAATGAGATAACACGAGCATCGTTGACTGCTCAACCAATTAACAATTATCGAATTCAATTTATTTATATATTATGCACGTACATGCTGTGTTTACGAGTGTGTGAGCATTGATAATATCTAAGTAAGATTCTACACAGTATACTATTTAATAACAACTCTAGACTATTAAAAAAATAAATTAATTTTTTTTGGAATTTGAGATATATTTTTTAAAAAATTATACATATGATCATTTAACTATGAGTAAATTATATTGTAAATATCGATTTTTTTAAATTTTATCAATAAGATCATTTTACTATTTCAATGGCATCAATCAAATCACATGCCATTAACATTTAACTAATACGGTTAAAAAATTTAGTATAATTGCATATTTGATCCTCGTTACTAACACCTTCTATCAATTTAATCTTAATTGATAGAATGCGTAAGTAATGATGATCAAATTTGTAATTATACTAAAATTTTAGCTACCATATCATCTACTCTGCAAATATTAACGCCAAATAACTTGATTGATATCATTTAAACAGCTAAAAGTTTGATTAATAAAATTAAAAGATCCATAGTCAAAATAGAATCTATACCCAAAACAAAGTGGCCATAGGTGTAATTTACCCTTTCAAAAACGTTTGGTACAATTAACGTATTTTTTAAAACATTTTCACATTGCTTTGGCGTGGACCTAAAAGAAATATTTTTAACGTGATTTTAGAGATTGACTTGTTCCAACCAGCCCCTCAAACTTTCAAGCCAAGGAATTGCGACCCCTTTGCCGTGTGTATATTTGTTATCGTGATCCCTTTGATTTTATGCTTTTTTAATCATACAAGTAATATTTTATGATTGGAGGTAGCAAAATGGAAGGAAGGTGACAACTTACAAGTGTGTTCTAATGAAGAATGGTGGTGGCAGTAGTCAAAACAAATCTCTGCCTCTGGCCTTTTATCAAACGTACCCAACAAACCTGGAATATCTTGGGAAAGACATAAAGCAATTTGCTTTTGAGATTTAAAGCAGCCGAAAGAATTCAAGACAGCTTTTTTGTGGCGTTCACGTTAAGCTGGATTTCTGTGGAAAAAAAAATAAAACAAAAACATTATCTTTCTGAAATCCTTTCCCCAGATAAGTCTCCTGTCTTAAAGCTTTCATCAATGGTTTCTGGTTGTTCATGAAAGTTCTACCTATTAGCTGAAGTTGAGGCCTAAATTGGGATTTCACAATTTCTTGCTTGGAGGTGTTAAAGATTACGTTTTTCTGTTTTTGTTCTTCCGTGTTTGGTATCTGGGATTTCATGGTTTGGTGTGCTTGAACTGGTTTCTGAATGTTTTTGTTCATGGTAAAAGTTGCCAAAAGTTTGTGTTTTAAGGTCTCCTGCCTTCAAGTTTTCTTGTTTGGTTTTGGTTATGCATGAAGGTCTTCCCTTTTAGCTGAAGTTGAGGGATTGAGGATTCTTTTGCTTCTCTCTAAACTGGGATTTATCACAACTCCTGGCTTGGAGGTGGTAAAGATCACCTTTTTCTGTTATTTGTTTTCATTTTTGGTATCTGGGTTTTATTGGTTTGGTGTGCTTGAACTGGTTTCTGAATCTTTTATTCATAGTAAAAGTTGTCAATAGTTAGTGTTTTAAGTTCTCCTGGGAATTAATTTCATCCTTGGAAGGTGTTTGCATGTGGTTTTAGCTGGTGGGGGTTGAACCTTTTAACTTGCATAACAAGTTTGTTCAATATCAGGGTAGTGATTTGTCGTCGTCGTCATCGTCTCCTTTGATTTGTTTGTGAGGGTTTCTAGTTTGAGTTGGATTTGCAATGGGGAAGCATAGTGGAAAGAACAAGAAGTAAACAGGGCAAACAGGTGATAACAATATGAAGCAAAACAAAGTTGGGGGAAATAGTTCGAAATCGTATGATTCGGACACGGCGGTTTTCATCGCCATGTCTCGAGAACTTAAGGAAGAGGGAAACAAACTGTTTCGGAAAGGGGACCTTGAAGGAGCAATGGTGATATATGAGAAGGCTCTCAAATTGCTTCCAAAGAATCACATAGATGTGTGCCATCTTAGGACCAATATTGCTGCATGTTATATGCAGATGGGATTGAGTGAGTACCCCAAAGCAGTCCTTGAGCTTAATTTGGCCCTAGAGGTCACACCGAAGTATAGTAAAGCACTCGTAAAGAGAGCTCGGTGTTACGAGTCTTTGAATAGGCCGGATTTAGCTTTCAGAGATGTTAATGCAGTTCTTAACATGGAGCCTAATAATACCATGGCATTAGAGATTTCACAAAGGGTAAGAAGTTCACTTGAGAAACAAGGTTTACTGGTTGAATTACCTCTGGAATCCATTGAACCTCAAAGTGCTTCACAAGCTCTGAAAGTTGTCAAAGAGAAAACCAAGAACAAGAAGAGGATCAATGAAGCTCAAGATAACAAGGTTGTGGATCGAATTGAGGAGAAGAAGGTTGACGAAAATGTAGAGGAAAAGAAGGCTGAAGAAAAATATGTTGAAACGCCAAGTGCTTCCCAAACATCGAAAGTTGTCGAAGAGAAATCCAAGAAGAAGATTAGTGAACCTCAAGATGACAAGGCTGTTGATCGAATCAAGGAGAAGAAGGTTGATGAAAATGTAGAGGAAAAGAGGGCTGAGGATAAATATGTTGAACCACCAAGTGCTTCCCAAACATCGAAAGTTGTCAAAGCGAAAACCAAGAAGAAGAAGAAAATCAGTGAAGCTCAAGCTGATAAGGTTGTTGATCGAATTGAGGAGAAGAAAGTTGATGAAAATGTAGAGGAAAAGAAGGCTGAGGATAAACAGGTCGTGGAGGAGAAAATTAGCAGTAAAATGGAAGAACCAAAGAAGAGTGTCAAGTTGATTATGGGTGAAGATATAATATGGGCTCAGTTGCCACCTAACTGCAGCCTTGTGCAACTAAGGGAAGTAATTTACAATCGATTTCCTAGCTCGAGAGCAATTCTTGTCAAATACAGAGATGAAGAAGGTGATTTAGTCACAATCACTAGTGATGAAGAGTTGAGATTGGCTGAAATAGCAGCAGAATCACAAGGTTCTCTGAGGCTGTATGTTGTAGAAGTTGATTCCAAGCAGGATCCGTTCTTCGAGAGATTTAAGCGTGAAAATGGTGATGCTAGAAAGGTTATGGAAAACAGGGAAGACTCGTGTTGCATCGATGACTGGATAATTGAGTTTGCTCAACTATTCAGGAACTATGTTGGCTTGGATTTAGATACATACTTAAATCTTCATGAACTTGGTACGAAGCAATATTCTGAGGCCATGGAGGACACAGTTACAAGTGACGAGGCCCAGAACCTTTTCGACATGGCAGCTCAGAAATTCCAAGAGATGGCAGCATTAGCATTGTTCGACTGGGGGAATGTTCACATGTCCAGAGCTAGGAAGAGGGTCTATGTCAGCGAAGATGGTTCGAGAGAATCCATACTTGAGCAGATCAAAACTACCTATGATTATGCACAATTAGAATACAGCAAAGCTGGTAAGAGATATGAGGAAGCACTGAGAACCAAACCAGATTTCTATGAAGCTCATCTAGCTCTCGGGCAACAACAGTTTGAGCAGGCAAAACTTTCTTGGTATTACGCAATTACAAATAATGTTGATCGGGAGACATGGCCTTCTGAGAATGTCTTGCACCTCTATAACAATGCCGAGGAAAATATGGAGAGGGGTATGCAGATGTGGGAGGAGTTAGAACGGCAGCGCCTGCATGAGCTTTCCGATTCGAACAATGAACAAATTCAGTTGAAGAAAATAGGATCGAATGGTTTTCTCAAAGATATATCAGCAGATGAAGCTGCAGAGCAGACAATCAACATGAGTGCTATGATAAATCTGTTATGGGGTACTATACTTTATGAACGTTCAATCATGGAATTCAAACTAGGTCTCCCTGTCTGGCATGAATGTTTGGAGGTTGCCATTGAGAAGTTTGAACATGCTGGAGTTTCTCCCACAGATATAGCTGTTATGGTAAAGAACCATTGTTCAAATAATGTTGTGCTGGAAGGTATCATATGGATAGAAATTCATAACTTTCGTATCATCAACTGACATCTGCATAAACCTTGAAAGCATAACTTATATTTTGTCGCTTGCAGGCTTGGGGTTTAAGATCGACGAGATAATACAGGCATGGAATGAGATGTATGAAGCTAAAAGGTGGAATAGCAAGATTCAGTCACACCGACTAGAACCATTACTTCGACGTCGGGTTTCAAATATTTATCATGTATTGGAGCATGCATGAGTTGCATGTTGTTTCGAGTGGGATTTCCTGGGTACCAGTTGATCGCAAGACACATCTTAGTACTTGGTAGCATTTGAATCGAGATATGCAGTACTGCATTACAGAAATAGGTAAGTTGAATCTTTCTTTAGTATGAAAAACAATTTACCATGTGACAAAATATGCTGCAATTCATATCATGCCCTTCAAATCTACTAGTTTGACTCTCAATTACATTCTTATTCACCTCCCATAACATGTTTTCGGAAAACGTATATAACTGATTTTAAGCATTTCTTTCCAGGCATAACATAGGATAATCACTTGTGCAGGTTTTTTTATGCTAGTCTTTTATATCAAGCATCAAACTTGGAGTTTCAGATTCAAAGGAAACTATTGAATTCCTGAAGGATGTGTGATTCCCATTTTATAGAAATAGGTTACAAGTATATGTTTGGAGATGTCACGGAGCAGCAGGAATCTCATTTTTTTTCTGTTGGTTTCTGCTTTGGTCTTCATCAGTTTCCCTCAAAGAAGTGGAAAATACATGCTGAATTCATACTTAGTTGCAATAATTTATAGATTGTTTAGTAGATTGATTTGTTAACTTCTAGCTGCATGTTTGTCATTCTGTTCTTGAAGATTAGGTTGTGTACTCGGACGGTTTTGTACCCTGTTGATGATGACCCTAGTTTTGCTTCTTGTACTAATATGTGGTTTTAAGGATTGTGGTGAATTTATAGGTTTTGCTTTTATTTTACCATATTGTATTTGCACTAGGGATGGACGGGGAAGGGCGGATGAGAATAATCGTCCTGTAAAATTTTCAAATTCCTATGTATTTTAGATATTTTTTTTGTATATTTTATTGAAAAACTATTATTTAAACCTAAAATTGTATAAGCATACTTACCCTTAAAATTATATCACCCATACATAAAATTCTGGGTTTGTCCTTGTTTGTACTGTGTGAATTGAACCTTCCATGAGGCAAATGTGCAGAACATAAACATAAAATTTTATGTACATATCCTTTTATATGGTTTTCCCCCGAGGAAAATTCCAAATTCAGCGACAACAAATATACAATCATCTCACAATTGTTCCCTGATCCCATTGGAGATGAAGCTTTTCATATTTCCAATATACACTTACAAGCTGATAGCAGCTATGTATAATTACAGCACATGAGGCAGTTTCCTTCAGACTTTTATTCTGGTCGAAAGCTGACGAGGTTGGGGAGGTCCGTCTACTGAAGCTTCTTAATTTCAGCTATGTAAATTCTTTAGAGGATTTAAATATGGCAAACCTTCATTAGTTATGTTGGATTTCAAAGCATTCAACGACATCAATGCAGTCAGTCCTGTCAAAATCCAGCATTAGAAGAGCTTACTGACTTCATCAGGGAACAGGGTAAACGACTGGGATATTTCATATTCAGGAGCTACTAACAGGAGTAACCAAATAAACTCTCAATTCATCAACATTTAAACATTTTCAAGCCAACCTGTCATACTAGACTGCAGTAAAACGCTCACAGGTATTATGTGCGAGTGACCGTCGGCGTATTGCTGGATGAAATAATGTGACACTAGAAATACAACTCTCATATACGTCTCTGTATCGGTTTACATACAAATACAGTAATGTTTGTTCTAACAATGGGTTGAAGAAGGGCAAAACTAAACACCACCGCAAAACCCTGGGAAATAGAAGCTAGACATACCAGAAATCAACTACAAGGATTTGTTTGTGAGGTAGCAGTTTTGGAAAAGGTTTAATAGCGTCAAGGAGAGGAGATCTTTGATGTTTTTCACACCGGCATTGGTTAAACCCCCACCACATATTTCGAGGGACTGGAGGTTCTTGAAGCCTGTTTTATCATATTTAAAAAACAGGTGTAAGAATATGGAACACGAAAATTCATATGACCTTGAATGTGAAACACATGACACTGGCTTAGTTTTGCTTTTATCATCTGGAGACCTTGAATCTGTCATTCACTTTCGTGACCGACGGTCGCCGAATTACAGATGCCGGGATTTCAGCTTTGACAAGTTAGCATTTTCACTTTTGTACTATCCTCCTCTGTGTGTAGAAGGTAGTGGTATTCTTTTTGTACTATCCTCCTCTGTGTGTAGAAGGTAGAAGTATTCTTGTGTGCTTGCTATTACGGCTTCTGAAATTGGATTTTTATCTTTTGTTGAAGCAGAAGTTTTGCTGGAAGGTAACGTATGGAGTGAAATTCATAGCTTTTGTGTCGTCAACCGATATCCGCATAAACCTTGAATTCATAACTTATATTTTGGTAGACGTATATAATTTGTTTCTGGCATTTATTTCCAGGCATAACATAGGATCGTACCTTGTGCAGGTTTTTATAAAAATAGGTTACCAATACATATTTGGCGACGACGTTGAGCAGCAGCAAGGATCTCATGTTTTTTTTTTGTTGGTTTCTGCTTTGTTCTTCATCAGTTTCCCTCATAGAAGTGGAAAATACATGCTGAATTCTCAGTTGCAATAGTTTATGGGTTGTTTAAAGACTAGGTGGTTTTACTAACAGTTCTGTATTCGGCTGATGATGATCCTAGTTCTGCATGTTGTATTACTATATGGTTTTAAGGATTGTGGTGAATTTGTTTTCAGGTTTTTCCTGATTTTACCAGATTGTATTTGCATTGTGCATAACATAAACATAAAATTTCAATATTCTTTCTAAGGAATTTTCTCAGAATAAATTAATTTTCTTAATCTCGATATTCTTTCGAAGGACATGTTCAAACACTGGTGGTTGAAGAAAAATAAGACTTGCAGCAAAAAGATAAAACTACTGAGATAAAGGAAGAAATTTGATGTTCATGGAGAAAAAAAGGTATTCTGTAGTATATTATTTACTATGGAGAAAAATAATGAAATATCTATCTATAACATGTTCTATTTCCTAATTGATCAATCAATCACCTAAAAGCAGCCAATTTTAGTTCCCCCTACGGCTGAACCTTGCAAGCAGGCACAATAACGCCTGGCATGCGAACGAACACAATGGACAAAGGAGGAACCATTATCGGCTTCGCCGAAATCACATGTAAAGGCCTCAATGGAGGTATGATCTCTGAAGAATTTACACTTAAAACGTTTCCATTAAGTAGAATGGTTTGGCTCTGCAAATTTCCATCTTTTGCTGTTAGATGGTATTCCTCTCTTCTTAGTCTTGCATAGATGGCTTTAGGCAGCTTGATGATCGTTGTTTTATGGATTTTGTGATTATGGTGCCAAGTATGAGACCAATGCTTGTGTCGCAAGGTCATTGTACTATTGAACTCGAGCTTAGCCTCGACGGTAGTGCTGTTGTCTAGGTTGATCAAAAGTAGTGTGATGCCTTTCTGCAAGATATAACAAAACTTTGGTCAAAATCTTAGAAGAGTAAGATTACTTGTTTTGATAATTGCATATGAGATGATGAACTAACTGATTGTTTTGCACAGTGGGTGTAGGATCGGATCTTTTCGGTCCCGTTGAAGCTAGTCGAAAGAACATTTCTTCCCATTAGCCGGTGCCAAAGAAGAGCGCTGCAACAGAGAAAGAAGAACATTATGAATATCTCAAATAGGCTGTGAGTCTCGTAATGAAAGAATTTCAGACAGCAAAATAACCTGTAGTAGTCTGGATTTGGTTCGAAGTTGGTGGTGTTTAGTAAACCATAATTTCCACCAATCAGTGCTTGTCTGCAATACGTTTTCATATCATACTTGGATGCCATGCCGAGCTGATCTCAATACCAGAAACTGAACACGAATGCATTTGTAACAAGAGGATGGCCGCTATTGTAAGCTCCTCCGGCCTCGCCCACCCAGGCAATTGCTGAAGTTGGAGAACTCTTGATGATGTTTTGGAGGCCGCTGAATGTTTCGGACTCACCTTCGAGAACAGATGGATCTAGAATCTTTTCGACGAGATTTTCATCAACTCCTACAGAGAGAAAAACGACCGTCAAGTCCGAACCTTCTTTCATGTCTTGACCTACTAGAAGACCCAAGAACCATACCTGGACCAAGGTTGTATATGTGGTGAGTGACAACATCTACGAATTTGATTGTCTTATTTATGTATTCTTTGAACCAATCCGAGTCATAGAACCCGCCAGGTGCAATAATCATCGGCTTCAAATCGACATTCTTGTATACGTTCTCCACTACGCTTTGAAGAGCAATGGTGTCAGCTGCATACTGGTCTGCTGAGACCCGAGTGCCGACACCGCTCCCGGACAATTTATTTCCTGACAAGCAACAGATAAATAACATGCTTCATTTCGACCTTGTCATAACCATTTTTAAGTGAAACAATTAAATATTATTTTAAAAAAATGATTACGACTTTATTTTGAAAAAATTGGGTGATTTTGAATTGATTTGAATAAAATTGAAAAGAGTCGTCATCGACCTTTGGGTTAGGTAGGTTGAATACCTAAAAACGTCTTTTAAAACAATTTTAAGAAAAATCATTTTTTAAGACAAGATTCGGTCTGCGTTACCAAAGATTCATTTAAAGTGATTCGGAAGTCGGTTACGTGCGGGGAAGGGTAAACACCCCCACAACGCCCAAAATTGGTACTGTGTCGCTTACACATCGTTGTAAATGGTGGAAATTATAAATCGAATATAAAATTAAAATATGATCTATTTATCGAACATTGATTAATTTGCTTCGAATTAAATAATTAGAGAAAATTCTTTAACTCGAAAAGAAATCTCGAAATTAGCAATCCTCCATCGGGAAAGCTAACTCGACTATTTCTTATCCATAAAGAATATTTCCCTCTTGATAAAATGCGAATCGAATATAAATAAAATTGACGTTTGCATACAACAAAATAAATTGTAAAATTGACGTTTGCATACAACAAAATAAATTGATTAACTAAAAAATGAATCGAAAATAAAATGAAAAAATTTGAAGTTTACATAAAATAAAGTAAATTGTTACACACATTGCATCATTTAAACAAATTAATTAATAAAATATACTCAATTTATTTCAAGTTCCTATGTCGTTAAAATGCCGTATGGGATCGCACCACTTCGACCAAGTGATACTTTCCACGCTCATTCTACGCATACGTGTTCTTGAAAATAAAAACCAAATATTTCATACATAGATAAAAATATAATATAAAAAATGTAATTGCAAATACAAAAATAAAATATTTACGTTAAATGAAATTAAGAACATTATTTGCATAATACAAATAACCGAATAACAAGTACAATAAAATCATACATAAATGACGAAAATAAAATATTCACAAATGTCAGGGATAAATTCGAACATCAACCAAAATACCTAACATATAAAATCAGGGGCTAAAATGAAACTATTACAAACATTGGGACCAAAGTCAAATATCCACAAAAATGACATAACATACATTAGTAGGACTAAAATATAAACAAGGAAACATAGATGCCCAAAACAAAGGAAAATAAAATAGACATTAAACCAAATATATTAAAGAACAGAAAATGACTAAAATACAAGCAATTAGAACTTGAAGCCAAAAATTCAAAAATTCAAAGTTATATTCAGTGATTAAAATAAAATAATTACACAATACGGGATCAGATTCAAACATTCACGAAAGTAGTAATATAAAAGAGTAAGGACTAAAATGAAATAAACAGAAACATAAAAGATCACAAAGTAATTAAACCAAACATCAAACAATGACTAAAATAGAATATATACGAATATGGTGACCAAATTCAAATAACAGTAAAGATAATAAAATGCATGGGATC